CAACCGCTCCCCGGAGAGCTGGAGCCGGGAGACGCCGCCAGCAAGAGGAAGAGATGAGGGTCGCAGGGGCCCCCGGCCGCCCACCGCCCGCCCCGTCTCACCTTTTTTACCTCAGGAGCCAGGAGCAGACAGCAATACTTCGTCCACACCTGGGATCGCGCAGGGCCCGCCGGGCACAGGCGCCCGTCAGCCGGGCTGAGCGGAGTCTGGGTTAGCCAGGCCTGCGTGGCCCATGGTGGCCCTTCCAGTGCATATATATACATATATATATGCGTATATACACACACACACATAGACATATATATATATATTTATTTTTTTTACTGAGAGCTTATGACTTCCAGAAAGTGCTAAAGGTGGGAGGTGGGCCAGGGCCTGGACGGGGCTTTTGTCTGACGCTCTGGAATTCAGGCCAGACCCACCCCAGGGCACATGTCCTGCCGGGGCGTCGCAGCTGTGTGTTTTGATGTCTCCTCCCGGGTTGAGAGTAGCTTGGAGAGGACCCTCAGGCCTCTGAGGGCACCAGGCCCGGGAGAAGACGTGCAATTCAGGGTGTGTTTTCTTTTTCTTTTTTTTCTTTTAAAGAAGAAACGCTGCTAAGATTCCCCGTGGCTCCCCCGCGTCGGGGTGTCTGTCCTGTCATCCTGACCGTCTGGTTGTTGTGAAGTCTTTTGTAGACACCCCAGAGCACACACATACCCTTAGTACACGGGTTAGATGTCTCTTTAGAAAAATCAGGGGTGAGTAGCTGTGTTTCCTTAGGACCGTGGTGGAGGGTGGAGGGCAGCTCGGAGGCTGGGCTGGGGCTCTGGCCTCAGGGGAGGTGCCAGTTCCTGAGTACTTCTGAGGGGGTGGGTTCCACCCCAGGAGGGCGGGGTTGGGTGGAGCAGGAGTGGAGGCCGCTTGGAGACGCCAGGGTGCCTGCCTGGTCTGGGCTGGCTCTGGCTGCCCTGCAGGTGCCCCTGGGCTCAGTCAGTTAGTTGTTCAGTCACTTATGCCTTTTATCCCCAATATGGGCCCTGAGCTGTGGCTGTCCCTGGACGCTGTGCTGTCCCCGTCCTGAGCAACTATGCCCCCGCCCCAGTGGGTTCAAGGCAAAGCAGCTCTGACTGAATTCTAGGCAGGGGTGGGGACACCTGCCTGGGCCCTGGGTCCAGCCGCATCCCCACGCCCAGCCTTTTGCGTCACGTGGAGGCCACATTCTCCGACCCCACCTCCCCGCCCCTGTCTCTCCTCCCTGCCCCTGTCTCTCCTCCCCGCTGCCCCCCACTGCAGGTCAGCTTTCACTATAGTAGTGCTTCCCAAACGGGTTATAGATGGGGGTGTTTGATTTGAAGAGTTACGCATTTATTTCACTATTTATTAGAAAAAAAATACATTGAACCCGTGATTTCACAGAGATTTTGCTTAGGTCAAGGCTACTTTTTAAAAAGGGAGTGACTTTCATGAAGTCAGTTTGAAGAAGGAGGTTGGGAGCATGTTGGTGGCAGTGGTCTGGAGAGGCTGCAGAGGCCACGAGTTTGGAGATGCTGTGCTTCAGCAATAACCTTGCCTTTGTTAAGACCCCCCCTTGCCTTTGCTAAGACCCCCTCTGAGGGCTTCATGGGGGCCTGCTGAGGGGCAGCCTTGTCCTTGTTCCCAAACTCTGACTTGGAAGAACTCAGCTCGTGGCCAGGCTGGTGAGGGTGTGGGGTGCCCCTTGGAGGGGTTCTGGGTGTCTTCCAGGCTGGCACAGGGACCCTGGGGGAGGTGGTGGGCAATGTGTGCTTTGTCACATGCAGAGACCTTTCGGGCTGAGGGAGAGCGGTCCAGGAGGGGTTGTCAAGCCCACCCGGGAAACTGAGCCCCGGAGAGGGGAAGTGGCCAGCCCAGGATCCTTCAGGGCCCTAGCAGCAAAGAAGCTGGGGTGGTGTGGAGGGCCCCACTCCACACCCTAGGGCTGTGATGCTGAGCAAGGTGCCTGCGGCAGGAGGAACTGCCCAGTCCTCCCTAGGGGGCAGGTAGACCTGTGAGGATGGCTGGGTCCAAGCCCAACGCTGACCCCTCCAGAGAGCCTCGGCCCTGCCTCCCTTTCCACGGAGGTGGTTTTATGTGGAGCGAGCTACGTTGTCTGGGGAAGAAGTGTCTGGGCGGGCTTACCTGCTCCTGGCTGACCCTGAGCACGCGCAGTTGGAGGGAGGCAGACAGACTTGACTTTTTGCAAGTCCGTGTGTTGCTGGAGGGACATGTGTGTTGGAGCCCAGAAGAAGGGTTGTGTGACCTGGGAAGACCATGTGGAAGGTTGGGCTTCAAATTGGCAGGATCAGACACCGGTCCAGCAGCCTTGGGTCATCTTGTGACTCTGCTGAGCGTCTTTCCTGCTGGTACATGGGTTCAGAGCAGCTGCGCGGGGAACACATCCTAGGCAGGTCTGATGTGAAACCTCCCCTTGCCCTGAACCATGTGGCTCTGGAACAAGCAGACACCTCGGGGCAGGTGTTCTAGGCAAAGGGATGGGCATGAGCGAAGGCTCCAGGGCCCACAGAGCGGGGCGTGTGGAGAAGGCGAAAGAGCTGAGTTCAGAGGCAGAGAAGCTCCTTGCAGGGAGCAGTGGGAGATGGCCTGGCCGATCCCAGGCTCCTGGAGGCCCCACCTGCCGATCCGAGACACTTGGCCTTGTTCTTGTGGGTGACAGAGATGGGGAACCAGGGAAGCTGTGATCTACTGGCCAGCACAAGTCAGAATGGGTGAGGGTTGGGCAAAGGGCCTTCCTTCCTCCTCAACCCTGTGGTCTGGGGCCATGGCCTCAGGCCTGTGTCTATCACAAAAGCACAAATTTGCCCTAACCCACATGGGCCTGGCAGTGGGGAAGGTGGGGACACAGGTCCCTGAGCTGTCTCTGCTGCTCCATAGGGTGGTGATGGGCAGGCACCTTGGCATCTGTGCA